CCTGCTAGAGATTAGGGCTGCATGAGTTTTGCTGCAGCTCCATGAGCCCAACATTACAAACTCTGCTCACTTCACCCATCCACAACAAACCTGCCTTCCTTATTGCCTCAGATACATTTTCTGGGTCAGCTCCTGAGCAATCCATGTGGGCCAGGGCAAATGTCAGAGGCCTTGGGGAGGACAATTGATTGCTGTGGGTAACTGTCAGCTTTCTGACACCACACAGCCCTGAATGACAAGGGCTGCAGGAAGCTTAAGGCACACAAGCCTTTCAGGCTTGGTGCTTCTCCTCTTAACCTAACCTGTTGGCATGAACAACAATGATCCTGGGCACTCAGACAACAGTCAGGCCCAAAGAGCTGCTGGGTTGTCGTCTTCTGCTGTCCCTTGTTCTCCCAGGCATGTTTTCTGATGGCTGAGACTTTCTTCCACGCATCTGCCAGCTGCTGTGGCACTCTCAGCAGAGCTGCGGTGCTGCCAGCACGGCCCTCGCGCTCATTCTCCCAGGCACACTCAGCTTCCGGGTGGAACAGTCACCCGACGTCAGTATTCCTGCAGCCACCAGGAAAAAAAAACGAAAGAGGACAGTTACCCTTCCAGTGGAGCAGAGAGACAAAGAACTAAGGATTTTCCAGAGGAAAAACCAACCAGAGGGCACGTAAGGACGAGTTAAAGCAGAGCCAGTGTGCAGGCTATGAACGAGCACTGGGCACAAGCAGCAGATGGCTGCACTTGCTGCAAGGAATGATGCCCCATGTCATGCCACAGCCCTCTGTGGCTGTTGTCATTAGTTCCCACTCCCCCTCCTGCTTTGTTATGGCTCTAGCCAGCTCTGCCCACTCTGCACTGGGGCTTGGAGCCTTTGGAGGTTTTGAGTCACAGTCTGCAGAGCTTTTCCTGAGGATAAACCAAAAGGAAAAAACAATCAGTGTTAGCAGTGGGCCAGCAAGTGGTAAAGAGCAGGCTGCAGTCTGCATTCAGCTACTGTGTTCCTGCCTCCATGCTGCCTCCTCCCCTGCAGCTTCCAGTGCCCTGAAAACCGGAACATGTCTACTCTCTGGCTGCCTGTTGCTGGGACAAGTTCCCATCATCAGGAGACCAGGACAAAGGCTTTGGGAACCACTTCACAAGCAGCTCTGACAGTGAGCAGGAGAGATGCTGGGGGGCCACGTACCCCCTTCTCTCAGCCTGGACTTGTCAGCAGAGAATGAGGCAGAGCACAAGATCTTCAGCAAGAGTAAGGTCAAGAAAATGACAACATCAACTTCAGAGCCTGAAGACTTCCCTGAATGAGGGTGGATCATTGGGTCCCTCCAATCTACCACTGCCAAATCATCAAAAACCCACCCAGTCATGCCTCCCCTCCAGCACAAGTCACTTCACATGACCCAAGCCGTTTTACACCTTACCCATTTCTCCCACACACTCCTCTAGGACAGCTGACAGCTCAGGCAAGCTCAGAGACTTCAAGGAAGGTGGCCATCCTTCCAGCACTGCAAGAAAGAGGAACCACAAATTTAATCAATCTGCACATGCTCTGCAACACAACAGAGACAAAGGTTTGGTGTTGCTGTAAGCATCCACACCAAAAGCAGCTCTAGTTAAGGGTTCTGAGTCACATGGGAAGAGAGCTAGAACTACCTGTGACAGACAGAGGTTTTCAGACCACTACCACTTCAGAATTATTTTTTTATTCTGGCTAGGTCATATCTTAAAAGAATCTCAAAAGACATTAAGCATAGTGGACAGAAATCAACAGGATCTCTACTCATCTCACTTTTAAAACACAAGCAGCATCTCTGGAAGCATGTCTCAGGTAGCAGGATCACTTGCTAACTCCTTGTGCTAAGGAGCATGAGAACAGGGAACCGACTACGGCTTCTGATTCAAACCCTGCTCTAGTGCACAGTGCGGTAACTCACCGAGCGCTCACACGCTGCGGGGTCGGAA